GGGGGGGGGGGGGGGGGGGGGGGGGGGGGGGGGGGGGGGGGGGGGGGGGGGGGGGGGTTCTCAAGCACCATATGTTCCGATACGATGACGATAGACTGCTGTTGCTTACTACGGCTGTACATGTGGTCGGGCTCGAAGGTGTTGGTGATCCACCATCAGTCTGTCCGCTATCTGTGGGCATGAAAGGCACAGAGACACAGAGGAATTCGTATCATTATGCCGCTTGCTCTCAGCAGACTTCACAGGATGTTCGTCCATCAACTATTTAGGTTTTCCGCTCTTCACGCAGGGCCAATTTCCCGTTTTGCATCCAACCATGATTTTCTTCCTTTTTATCCATCCACCTTGCCTCGACCGCTGCCCTTCCCTCCCCACCTCCTCAAGACTGGTCATGGGCTTATACATGTATCATCACGCCAGAAGCTGTTGACGGTGCCGTGCACGTCAGCAGTGTGCCATATAGGCGGCTGGAATCTGTCCGCCACGTACGTCTACGAAATCTACGACGATCTCCGTCTTTCGACCTAAAAAAAACAGTGGTATGCTATCGGCTGCAAAAATTCGGCCCCCTTCTCTCATGCTCGCGGCCTCAACATCATTATGATAAAGTCTGCATGACGGCTGTAACGTGTCCGCCACATGTATCTACGAAATCTAACTGTACGAAGGTCCTTCTTTCTCTCGGTCTTTGCTTGGTAAACGTGGTAGGTTTTCGTCCTTCCTTCCTTGGCGGAATCCTTGTTCTTCTCTTCTTTTTTTCTCGCGAAAATTCGTAGGAAGAGAATATTACTCTTGGCTTGCATCACGCGTGTTAGGTGATTGCTCCTATTCCGCAAGAAGTGCCAATACAAGTATCGGGGAAGAAGAAGTGTTAATGCAACAAGAGGTAACAAGCACTAAAAACACTCGCTTGCATGACACACATGTTAAGTGACTGCTCGTACTCCGCAAGGAGTCTGAATACAAGTATAGAAGAAGCAAGAAGTGTTCATACAAGAAGTGGTTCAGAAGCTACAAACGCACTGTTTGCGTGCATCACACGTGTTAGGTGATTGTTCCTGTTCCGCAAGGTCTTGATGCAAACATTTAAGAGCACTACAACAGTAACACTTGCCTGCATCACACATGTCAAGTGATTGCTCCTTTTCCGCTAAAGCACGGTGATTCTAGTATGTAAGAAGCAAGTGCTTGTACAGGAAATGGTTGAAAAGCAAAAAACACACTCTGGACTTGCATCACAAATGTCAAGGGTACAAATGCTCCTATTCCGCAAGAAGTGTTAATATAAGCAGTAAAGAAGCAAGAAGTGTTTATACAAGCATGTGGCAAGAAGCGTCAAAAATTACTCTTTGGCTTGCATCGCACATGTCAGGTGATTGCTCCTATTCCACAAGAAGACCCCTGCCATCAACACGACGACGACGAGGAAGAGGAAGAGGAAGAGGAAGAGGAGGAGGTGGCATTCTCCCCGCCACGGTCACCACCGGCGTCAGGCAACACGAAGAAGCAGCAACACAAACAGCAACAACACCAAAGAGGGGAGGATTCGGCGGAGCTGACGACGACGGCCTCTGCGGTTGGGGTCGGTGCAACGTTTTTTTTTTGTTTTATTGCTACCATGGTAGAGCGTGGCATTTAGCTCAACGAACCCATCCCTTTTTATCTACAGTTGTCCACAGATTGTAGAGTCCAGGACAAATGGTAGTAAAATAAACATATAAACGTGACACCAGGCCTCGGCCACTCTCAATTCTTCATGCTTGGCGTTGTTCGTGAAGCCAAAAGCGCCAGCGTAGGAATTTTTTTGTGTGTGTTTTTTTTTCCGCGGGAGTGCTTTGGGGTTGACTCATGTACCGGACATTGCACCGAACCAACACGACAATTGCCTGGTGCTATTTGTTGGAAACCCAACAAACGCATTTGAATCTCAGACGCCCCTGCTGTATTTTGTACAAGGGATGCCTCTGGAATGGGCTCATGAGAGCACAGCAGGCCATGAGGGGGGGTGAGGCAAGATGACAATGAACGTATTAGAAGAACAAGCCCACAGCTAACTGCCAGCTACTGCGGTGTGACGTTTCCCAAGCTCAGCAGCTCACACACCAGCTGACGTGTTTCCGACGCGAACAGACCACCAGCGAACCTTTGTTTATGTCTTACGAGACTCCGAACGGGAAGCCAGAAGCTACCTTCGTCCATACAGTCGGCGGTCCTCAATAGCGGTAGGCAGTGACAAGAGGTTTTGGTGCCGCCATACAAGAGGGCAGTGCCGCTATTCCTAACAGCGGTTGTACTGAGAAATTCATTTGTGCCCAGCGGTTTCGGTGCCGCTGTAGAGGGCATTCCGCTATTGAGGGTACCGCTATCGAGGACCGTCGACTGTACCATGGTTGCCTAGTTGTAGGGATGGGCACAAATGACCACATTTTTTTGGCGCTTGGCGTTAGCTTTAACTAGAGTTAGTCCTATTTTGTGTGCTTGCGAGATGGTACAAGTTGCCGCCCATGGGGCGAAGAGGCCCGCGGGGGGGCGGGATTCACCACTGTAGTATTTTAGGACGTACTGAGCGGAGACCGGAACGGTTTTTAACGGGAAGACAATAACAACAACAACAACAACAACAACAACAACAGCAAATATACTGTCATCGTGTAGTATTGTAACAAATGACCGAACTCTTGAGCAAGGCTGTTTGTTGGGACGCGCGGTGGCGGTCGTGGCATGGCAACGACTGCTGCTACGTAACAAACCACACCTGTGGTGGGTGATTCAGTCTTCACTCAGAACCTCTACATAGAAATGCATACCTTTGATGCCTCCTCGAAAATATAGACCGAAAAAAACAGCAAGAGGTGTTGGAGGGGTGCGGTGGCCGGTGACGACACCTATAGCTAACCACGCCTCCCTTGGGAGATTCGGCTTTTCACGCAGAACCTTACATACATATCTGTGACGCCCACCCGGCCCTCCTCGAAAACAACTACCAAAATCTTCGTAGATGTGTGTGTTTTCGGGGGACGCGGTGTTGACCCTGGCATGATAACGCCTCCTTTTTGTTAGCTGACCGCGCGTCCCTCTAGAGGATTTGGCTTTTCACGCAGAACCTCGACATTCACAAAAGTAATTGATGCCCACCCACTCGGCTCTGCCTCGCGCGCGCCTCTCGACGCGGCAGGCTGGCCGTGGCGACTCCCATCATCACGCCGTCGGGCCACGGAGATTTGCGGCGGGCTTAGCGGAGGCGACGAGACAACAAAGCCCGACGGAGGGTGGCGGGGGGGAGGGCGGCGAGAGCGACGGGGAGGTCGCTCCTTTCTTCTTGCAAGAAGCGGGGGGTGCCGACAGCAGCAGTGGATGGGGGGGAGAGAGGGGGGGGGGTGCTGCCGAGGGTGTGGCGTTGAGGTGAGTGAGTTGGCACATGCAAGTGTAAGCATTTCGCATCTACTAGAAGTATTGGTTATGACTCGTGCTTGGCCTTACGTCCCTCGTTCTTGTTCTTGTTCTTGTTCTTGTTCTTGTTGTGCTGCTGCTGCTGCTGCTGCTGCTGCTGCTGTTGCTGTTGGTTGCGGTGTTTGGAAGCGGACAGCAAGAAGTGCACATTTCAGAAACCGAAAGCGTCATTGAACGGCCTCCCTTTTGGGATGTGTTTTCCTCGACAACCTTCTGGCGATGCGCACTTCTTTTGCCTTCCAACGAGGCGCACCTTTTGAGTCCAGTAAGTATGTATTTGCCACTGTTTGGTGTTTGAACCAACCACCGTTGTTGTGCGTCTTCTTTTTTTTTTGTCCGTTGAACGGTTATCATGGCGGCCGTCCTTCTAGCGCCGCTACCGGATACGGCGGTGAGACTACCCCCGCCCTGCACCCGAACAACCAAGGCGCGGAAGGAGGAGGAGGAGGAGAAGGAGCAAGCTTCATCGCAGCTTCGCCGCCCTCCCCTACCCCGCCGTCGCCGCCATCGACGAGAGGAGTATGCAAGGTTTGATTACCCGGGCGTCGGGTATTTATGATACAATCGCCAGGCTTATTTGCCGTAAATGACGTGACACAAGATACCACTCCCCCTAGACCGATTTTCAAAGCTCCACTACTCCAAGCAGAAAGAATGCCAAATGGTATTTGTGCGTTGTCGGAAAGGTCTCGAGGGAATGGTTCTAACGTCGCTATTTTCGGCACTGTCACTCTTTCGTCTGCGGAGTAAATCAAGCTTTGAAAAACGGTCCAGGGGGTGTGATATCTTGTGTCACCTACGCTAAGCACATTGGGTGTCAAACTCTTGGCACAATGCCGCCTTATTTTACATAGGGACACCATTCTGTGTGGAAAATAGATACGAAATGTCTTGTGGGCCACCGCCCGTGCCATACCAAGTGGGCTGAAAGGGTGGGAAGTAATATCGATAGGATATACTTTTTTCTCCCCCTTTGGCGAGGTAGGAAGGAACGGTTGACCATCGGTGGTCGGTCCCGTGGGAACAATGCTCCGTCGTCTCTCGAGAGGACGCGAGGTCAATGCTCTAACCGCAAAGAAGGCAAGCAAAAACATGAGTAGCCCCCCCCCCCCCCCCCCCCCCCCCCCCCCCCCCCCCCCCCCCCCCCCCCCCCCCCCCCCCCCCCCCCC